AGGTTGGATATTAGGAGACATTTCTTCACAGAAAGGGTGACTGGATATTGGAAGGGGCTGCCCAAGGAAATGGTGGAACCCTCATCCCTGGAAATGTTCGAAAAGGTGTTATGGAAAGCAAAGGGCACTAAATGAGTGTCCTCACAGAGGAAGAGCAGAAATTCTTTTTTTTTTTCAGACTAGACAACAAAAACAGAATTTGCAACCACCTACTACAAGTCGTCCTCTTTGTCCATGTAGTGCAAGAGGAATCTGTGTGTCATGGGTCTGTGTATTTTGGTGTTTAAATTAACCTTTTATGCATTAATTAACCCCTCCCAATCACAGTGTCAGGGCCCATTTCCAAGCAGGGTACTGTAGCTGTTTGTGTTATCATTCCTCGGGTGTTAAAATCCAGGCAGCCCCTGTGAGACAGGTCTTGCTGCCATCCTGCCCTGGGCCTGCTGTGTGTGGGAGTTCAGGAGCTGCTGCAACTAAAGGAGAGCCTCAGCTGAGCAGAACTTCTCAAGAAACAGCCAAGCTCATCCTCGGTCCCATCTCGACACCCACACTGCACAGCAGGCATAAGAAGCTTCCCTCTCAAAAGCAAAATCATCCAGCCTCATGGCCTGGGTAAGATCTGAGTCTGCTTCTGAGGCCTCCTGTGTCTCCTGGCTGCCCCTTGATCTGTGAGCTTGCCCTGGGAAGTGGGATTAGCATTTGACATTTGTTGCTCTGAGCTGGTTTTCCAGGGGAAAAAAAAAAAATGGTTTCCAGGATTGTGTTTCATGCTCCAGAGGATTTTGGATTTATGGCACCTAGGTAGCAGTTATCTTGTCTTTCCAATCCCCTGCTACCACCCAGCCCTGTAGTGCTAACACCTGTGAACTTGTGCTCAGCACTGGGCTGTCCAGTTCAGGGTCTTGTGGAGAGGATGTCTTTAACCCCAGTTTAGTTAATCCCAGTTTCCCTCTGCTGCCTGCCCTGATCCTGTGCTGCAGGGACAAAGTGGGATGCACAGCTTTTGGTGGACTCTCACCCCAGCTGCCAGAGCCTCGCCATTTCCTTACCAGTTTTGTTCCTATTCCCTTCCCTGCATTGTGCTCACTGTCTCTTGTTGGACGACTGAGAAGGACAATGAATTTTCCTTGTTATAATGGATAAAGAAAACCAACTCTTTGGAAAACCAAGACTGAGGAGGACAATGAATTTTCCCTGTTGCAATGGATAAAGAAAACCCAACCCTTCGGAAAACCAAAATTGAGGAGGACAGTGAATTTTCCCTGTTATAATGGATAAAGAAAACCAACCCTTTGGAAAACCAAGACTGAGGAGGACAATGAATTTTCCCTGTTGCAATGGAGAAAGAAAACCCAACCCTTTGGAAAACCAAAATTGAGGAGGACAATGAATTTTCCCTGTTGCAATGGATAAAGAAAACCAACCCTTTGGAAAACCAAAATTGAGGAGGACAATGAATTTTCCCTGTTGCAATGGATAAAGAAAACCAACCCTTTGGAAAACCAAAATTGAGGAGGACAATGAATTTTCCCTGTTGCAATGGATAAAGAAAACCCAACCCTTCGGAAAACCAAGACTGAGGAGGACAATGAATTTTCCCTGTTATAATGGATAAAGAAAACCAACCCTTTGGAAAACCAAGACTGAGGAGGACAATGAATTTTCCCTCTTATAATGGAGAATGAAACCCCAACCCTTTGGAAAACCACCTCAGGTAAACTCCTGCTGCCATTTCCCACACCCCGTGGCAGCTCCCTCGAGGGTGGCTTTGCCTCCTTGGCCTCTCAGGCCCTCTTACCAATCACGTGCAGCTTTATCCCATTCCTGCTCTCGTACTTGTCCTGGACATCTCCGGCCAGCTCCACCCGACAGAAGTACCTCTCGCTGTCGCTCCAGGTCAGGTTGTCCACCCTGATGGACAGGTCCTTGTGCCGGGGGTTGCCCAGCAGTTTGTACTTGTTCTTGTGGCTGATGGCAGTCCTGCAGAGCTCGCTGCTGCTCTGGCTCACACACTTGAAGATCACCGTGCCGTTGTAGGGCTCCTTGATCCTCCAGATGGCCGTGAGGGCGCGGTCAAATGTTTTGTAGGGGTGTGTGAAGGTGCAGGGCAGGATAACCATCTTCCCAAGCTCTCCAGTGACGTCAGACGGGACGTGGACAGACCAGCCATTGCAGTGCACACCTACAAGCAAGAAGGGATCGTGGAATTGCAGAATGGTTGGCTGTAAGGGGCCTTAAAATTAGTTTCATTCCACCCCCCTGCCATGGGCAAGGACAACTTCCACTAGCCCAGGATGCTCCAAGCCCCATCCAGCCTGGCCTTGGATACTTCCAAGGATCCAGAGGCAGCCACAGCTTCTTTGGGCAACATGTGCCAGGGCCTCACCACCCTCACAGCCAAGAATATCTTCCTAATACCTCATCTAAATGTCCCTCTTTCAGTTTAATATATAGACATGTCTATCTACTCACTGTTCTGCTGCTATCAACAGCTGTAGCAGCAGATTGTGGCTTCAGAAACACATCTGTGCCTACATTCCTGTCTTATGAAACTCCATTGGATCAGGGCCTCTCAGTGGCTGAGAATACCTGTAAAATGTAAAAGCATCCTATAAGTATTTTCACCCATCCCTGGTCTTGTTGGCTGCACCATAAGGGCATTCAGCTGTCGGATTACTCCTGTAGACTCAAAGATAAGATTTGTTTTTTTGTTCCTGTATCTGTGGCCCATAGCACTTGACAAACACCTACGTGGCAGTGCAGCTTGTATTAACCTATTGTGTGTTACACAATGGACAAAGGCCATCCTAGGGCCAGTTCTCTCTGCAGATATTTACATGGAGTCAGCTCCAAGGCAGTATTTTGATTACTGAGATCTGGAGTCATGCTGCCCTGTCATACACAATACTGGTATGTGTATGCCCATAACACCTTTTCCAGCCCAGGTAATCTAATAAACAATGCTGCAGCACTGCAGGAGCTTCATGAAGCTCACGGGCTTTGAGCACAAAGACCTGGCACTGAAAACAGTGATTGCTATTGCTTTCTAGCTTACTTGCTCTTGTTTTAGTTATTTTGCAGCATGTCACTGTAACCTTTACTTTAGGAGAATTGTAGATTGTGTGCTTTTGAGTATGACTTGCTTCTCTTTGCCGCCCCTTTGATTAGCTTTTCTGTTTTTTTGGTTTTCAATCTTAAGGAAAGAACTTTTTTCTTTTTTTTTTTTTTTTTTTTAGCACATAAGCCCCCCTTGCCTTCCAGATGAAAAATAATGTTAAAAATAAGTGCTTTTAATGTTAGCATCTCCGCCCATTTCCATGGAAACACAGTTTGCCTAGTTATGAGTGGAGGGAGCTGTCAACTTTCTCTGTATAATTTACCCTTAACTCTAAAGCCTCAGCATGGCAGGTCTTTCACGTTCCTTTTGTTAATATCCAGCCACCATTTGCTAATGGAACTGAAGCTCTCACAAGGAAGAGAGAGGCAAACAGCCTGCATGCCTTACAGAAGGTAACTCCCAAAAGGAGTTGTCAGGTCAGTATTACTGCTGGTGGTCAGTGGGAAAGGTCATGAGGACAACAGCAAGAGCTGGGGACCAGCTCACAACTACCCTTGCTCTGGCAAATGCTGTTTGGCAGTGAAGTTAAGGAAATCCTATGGAGTTTCATGGAATTTAAGAAGATATTTGAAGTAATGTGAGCTTAAGTGCTCAGTGGAACTGGAAAATGCTGTGTAACTCCTAAGGAATATGAAGCAGAGCAGTGATGAAAATGCTGCATCCACCCAGCAAAGCCGGGGAATAGTCAGATGAACTTCCTGCTCAAGTTAGAAAAACAGAAAAATGCAAAAAAACCCCACAAACTGACAACTGCTAAGCCAGAGTCTTCCCAGCGCTGCCACGTGCGCTTGGAATTTCAGGAATACTCTCAAGCAACGTGGTGGAGAGTGCGATTCTTGCAGAGTTTGTGGCAGCAGGCAGCTCCCTGGCCCTCGGGCTGGGGTGAGAGGAGAAGCTGGGGTCAGCCAGGGGCTGGCAGCAGGCTCAGAACTCACCCTTCCTGGAGAGGCGGAGGAGGCACAGCAGCACCAGGCCGAGCTCTCTCATGCTGCTCGGCGTTCTCCCCTGAGGGGCATCAGCAAGCCAGACCCATCTCCTTACCTCTGAGCTGCTGGCCTTGCAGTGACAAAAGGTTTTTTTCCAGGGGTAGGAGAAGTTGTGGTTTTTCTTCCGCTTGGAGGGAGTGAGTTGTTTAGCTGAACCAGCTCTGGGTTCAGGTATTAATAGTTCTGTGGTCAGTCATATGAAAATTACACCAGAAGGAATCAGTGTTAACCATTTTCCAGCTAGATGGAGGGAATTGCAGACTGGAGCTGCAAACATCCATGCCATGTGTGTGATGGGGCAAGAGGGGGTGGCTTTTGCTACCCACTCACCAGCCTAGAGCAAATCCTCGCAATCTGCCTGAGGTTGTGACAAGCAAGACTTTACTGTCCTGCCTTCCTTCTCCTGCACCTGGAGCCTTCAAACCAACTGTGCTCTTGTGCTCTACCCCTTGTGCTCACTGGATGTTGTTCTATCCCTAGGTATAGAAAAAAAACCCAAACCACTTTTCTTTTGAAGGCACTTGTGCCGAGGTTCACTGCTGGATGAGTGGTTTGGTGTCCCCTGGTACCCTGCTCTGTCCACACTCACAGGGCCCCGATGAGTGATGACTCATTCCCTCCTGAGAAATGAGATGAATTCCAGCTTTTTGCCCAGCATCTTTGTGCAAATACTTGCTGCTTTCCTTCTGGATTTAGTTTTAGCAAATTGACTGTTTGCCCATCCGCAGAGCCTGTGGGGAGCTGATGGTGTTTTCCCCTCTCCGTCTCCCTTGTGGCGATCTCGCGGCTAAATTTAACAACCCTGGGGCGTGAATTCCCTGTCTGGGCTCACCTTGAGGTTCGCTGCCTTTGCTTCAGGCCAGGGGGAGGAATGCATGGTGTGTCCCAGAATGATCTCACCGTGTCCGGGGTGCTGCTGTGGGCTCCCTCCTGGGCGGTGACAGGGACAGAGCACCCCCAGGCCTCACGGACCGCTTGGGCAGGCCTCGCAGCAGCCTGGGCTGGCGGAAGGTGTCCGTGCCCAGGGTGGGATGGGATGATGTTTCAGGCGCCTCCCATCCCAATCTTTCCGTGATTCCCGCTGCAGGGCCACTGGAGGGCTCCCGGAGCCAGGATAAGACGCTGCTGGGTCGCTGCTGTTGCTTTCCCCGTGCCCGGAGCCAGCGCCCACCCCAGCAGCAATGGCAGGGCTCCCCTTGGCCCTTCACCCCTGCTCCTGCCCCTCTGTTCCCTTCGGAGCTTGAGGAAAATCTCCTGGGAAGGAGACCTTGAGTAGTGCGCAGTGTGTTCGCTGCTTCCTGATCCCTTGCTTCCTTCTCTATGCTGTGTTTGTGAAGAGAGAGATTTCTGTCTTCCCCAGTCTTTTTGGAGGAGGCTCTGAGAACACCCAGCTCTTATTTAGGGTTGTTTGGACCTGTTGCCACACAGCCAAGGGTGTTAATTTTTCAAATATTCACTTAGACCCCTGCCCTGTCCCCTCTGCAGGACATCCTTGAGCAGGAGCATCAGGACCTGATTGCTTTGCAAACTGTCCTTAGTAGCTGTTAAACATAATTCATGCCAGCAGCAGCTGAGAAACCTGAGGGTAGGGGTGGTGGCAGCAGCAAGTAAGAGACCTGTAATCCCTACCACATCTGTGATTTGTGCCTTTTCTGTGTACCTCCCCCTTCTTCCCCTAAGTGCAGTTAGATTTCATCTATTTGTGATGTGAAGTTTTTGGTGGTGTGACTCTTTTAAGCCTTTCACCACTCGTGGCACAGTGGGACTCAGTGGATTGAAGTAAAAGATTAAAGTGAAATCCATGTTGAAAACATCTTGTTACAGTGAAGCATAAATGATTCATGTAAAGAAAAGCTGCAGTTAACACCAGTATGATCCTCTTCCTCTTTAATGTTTTACTGCAGCATCTCCTAGAAAAATATCTGGTAAATCAGAGCAGAACTACAAATCCTTTGAGTTTTATCTGTGGACTGATTTTCTTCTTGGACCACGGCTGTTGGAATGAAGCATTATAGTGTTTAAAATACAGAGTTGGTAATGTATAGCTGAAAAGATTTACAGTTATTTGAATCAGCCAAAAAAATTTTGTAAAAAAAATCATCCATGGCTATGATGATTCACAGACTCTGTTACCTTTTTTGCCTGGTTTGTGCTTAAATAGTATGTAAGATTTCAGTATGGAAGCCTGCTTCTGGTCCAATACCAAAACCAGGATGCTGTCCATATTTGTCAAATACTGGTTTTAGTGCTAATAAATTTAAAGGCTGCAAATAGTGACATTTTTTCCTGCCTCCCTAAGAAATTCCTGCAGTGTTTTGTGATGAACTGGATGGTATCAGAGGGCTTTTCAGCCTAAATGTTCCATGGCTCTGTGGTTGGGTGGTGATGATCTGCACCCAAATTGCAACATGTGACTGGAGCTGAGCACGGCAGAGCTCATCCCTCCTGGTTCCAGCTTTGTCACTGAGGACTGAAGCAAAGAGTTATTTGTGTAGCTGCACCTGTGCTGACAATTCACCCACTTATTCAGTGATCAGAGAGAACACAGGTGTTCCACCTCCCTCCCTTTAGGTCTTAGTTTCAGCTCCAAGGTTTTCTACTTCAATTATTTCAGCATCATGTGTGTTCCCAGTCCTCTGAGAGTGCCAACTTGCACACATTCAAAGCAAATCCTCGTGTTTTGTCACATCTGGCTCTCTTCCCTGAAGGGATTGGCTCTGTGAAGTCCTGGGAAGTGAAGCTGGGAGGGCAGACAGGTTTTCCCTCTGTCTGGTCCCTGTCAGCAGCAGAAAGTGGAGCCATGCTCCCCTTTTTGTGAAGCTGCTGTGGGCTGCCCATCTTCCTTCTGTGTCCACTTCATCCTCACCAAGCAAGAGGCAGAAAAAAAAAAATACCGGTGAACACAGAGCAGGGAAAGTAGAAAGGGATGGAGGGTGTAAAATGCAGGCACCATTATTGTTGGTGACACTGATGCTGTTTCCTGGCTTTGAGTGTTGCTGCAGAACACTGTCACCACTGCCTCAAGCTCCTGCTGATCTGGCTCGAAGGTCTACAGGTTCAGTCTCTTGCCTGTGTGTCTGCTCAGCCCCTCACCAATGCTCCTGACCTGGGGAGTTCTCCTGCCTGCCATCCCATGGCTCCAAGTGTGGGGCTGTTCCATCACCAAAGCTGTGCTGGCAGGCTGATGGAGCTGGAACACGGGTGCTGGTGAACCCTTGCTGCCTCCGGTGAGCATCAGCCAAAGCAAATTAAGTGTATAATTGGGTAATTTGCACCTAGTGGGCAATTACTGCATGAAAACCAGCTCGTGTTATGGGCAGTGCGTGGCAGTGGAAAAAGGCAAAGGAAGTGTCTCTCTCCAAGCTGTTGGTGTAGCTGGATGTAGGCACCTCCACTGAGCTGCATGAACTGCTCTGATCTCCCAAACTCCTGCCCTTCTGCCCCTTCTGCCCCTGCTCTCAGCCTGTGGCCTGCCCTGACCGTGGCACAGCTGCAGACAGGCAGTGCAGTGCTGCTCTCTGCTCTGCCCCTGCCAAGGCAGTCAGAGCCATTAAGGGGATGATCCTGGGGCCACACGAGTGCTGGTGCTCCCTCCTCCAGACTGGTCCTGGTGCCAAGCCCAGCCAGCAACCACAGCTTTGTGCTGATGTGTCCACTCATTGCAGGAGCCCCAAGAGGCCTCTCACTCACGAGGCATCTGTATCAGCTTGCTACATGACAGCTGTGGAATGTTTTAGGACTGCCAGCCCTCCTCAGACCCATGCCAGCTCACCAGCACTGAGTGTCCTCTCCTGGCCTGGCCATTCTGTCACCCAAACAAGCACAGAGGGTCTGGCTGGTCTCTGTGTGATGCTGGGCTTAGCCTGAGCCAGGGGCTGAGCCAGCTGGCAGGGCAGAGTCACCACACACCCCTTTAGACTAATCCAAATGATGTGTCTGATCAAAGGCACTTGAAATGCCACCAGAACAGAGGCCCTTGCCCACCCTTCCTGCTGAAAGTGAGCCTTTGGAGATTTATGTGCTCTGTCTCTCCCTGCTGAATGGGCACAGCTGGTGATTTAAGAGATTTATGCTCCTCTAGTTGTAGATTTCATAGCCCTTCTCTGGGATGAGAGCTGCTCTCCTTTGGGAAGGAGTGTGGGCTGTTTTTTCCCACCAGGCCACACAATATCTGAAGCACATCCTGAACTTTCCCTTGACAGAGCACTTTTGGCCAGTGAAGGGGTGGGTCTGATCCATGATCTGAGCTTTGCTGCCTCACTTCACAGGTTCCAAACAGATTCAAAAGCAGTCAGAATGAGATCTGTGGTAATGAATGTGGTATCCCCCTAGGATGTGCCTCTGCGGAATAACTCTACACCTCTTGCTGTCACTCACCCACCCACATCCTGCCTTGCCTGAGATCCTGTGCCCTTTAGAGTGGCATTTATTGTGGCATCTTCTCTGAGAAATGTTCTATCCTCTTGTCCTTTGTCCTTCCTAAGCTCTGCTAGCCTGTGTGTTTTCACTGATTTAAATGCAAAGTTTAACCAGAATGCTGTCATGGCTTTATGGCTTTTGCTTGTTTGGTTTTTGTCTGGGTTTTTGTTTTTTTTAGGAACCTAGGTGGTTAAACCTGGACTGTTTAGCCATTTCCCCTTGCTGTTGAACTTCAGCTGAATTTCTCCACTTGGCATTACCTGTTGCTGTGTGGCTCCAGAAGTGCTTTGACTGCTCCTCAGCATCATCCACAGGCTGTAAGCATCATCCACAGATTTCTCACCTTGCAAGGGCACCTCATGATCACCTCTACTCTTAAATATGGCCCAGCTTGAGTTTGAAATTAATAAAGTTCAGTCCAGAAGATACCACTGCTTCTGCTAATCTGTTCTGCTATGTAATTTCTAGCATAGCATAGAGGGTTTTCATCCATTTTCCCTTGAACTGAATTCCAGACCTTGGATTTGACCTGGGTGCTGAGCTACCAGGTTGGGGAGGCACAGCTCCCACAGCCCCTGCTCTGGGCCAGCGTGGGGGGAGAGCTGCAGATCTGAAGCCAAGCTGTGGAGATAATAAATGAGGCAGGGCTGAGTGATCACTCCTCCCCAGGAACTGTGTCCAGAGGCAATATTCACTGACAGCCTTGACCTGATTGTCCCAGGATTGTCTGTGCTGCTCTTAAATCTGCAGCTGAGTTATAGGCAGAGGCAAGAGTGTTTTAATGGCATTGTAGGTACTTCTGCCTTTAAGGAGACCATAACAAATAATTTTTGTAGGTAGCACATGACGTGGGTGAGGAGCAAGCAGTGCTCTGAACTGCTGCTGGAACAGGAGACCTTGACTTGAATTCTTGGCAGAGCCTCTCAGTGCAAGATCAGCTCCTTTCTAGCTGGGACAGGAATTAGATGAGAGAGATGAAGGCAGCAACTTCCCTTGCCCTGATGGAGTGATCTGCAAGAGAATGAGTAATTTTTGCCTTGTGGCAGGGGTTCTCCAGAAAGCAATTTGGTGGTGGGCTTTTTTTTCAGTTTAACTTTCTTTGGGGTTGTTAAGAGTTGTTTTTTCTCAGTGGGTGTGGTTTTCAGACTGATGCAGGCAGCGGGGCTGCAGATGACTTTGACTGTGATCAAAATCACAGAAATGCAGAATCACAGAATCAGGGTTACTGCCCCTGTGTTTACTCTTTACCTTAACCTCAGGAAACATTTCTGGTAGAGAATGGAACATTTCATGGCAATAGGTGGCAAAATATTTGAAAGTATTCAAAACCTGCTGTTTCTATGCAGTTGGTACTGAGGTCTGTTGGATCAGAAAGTACCAAAAATGGAAGTAACCCGTGAATTGTAGCATATAAAGGAATGTATAGAATCATAGCGTGGATTGGGTTAGAAGGGACCTTAAGGATTATGTAGTTTCAACCTCTCTGCCATGGACAGGGACACCTTCCCCTATGCCAGGTTGCTCCAAGCCCTGTCTAACCTGGCCTTGGACACTTCCAGGGATGGGATGACTGCAGCTTCACTGTGTCAGTCAGTACCTCACCACCCTCACAGGGAAGAATTTTTTCCTAATATCTAATCTAAACCTACTCTCTTTCAGTTTGAGGACCACTTGCCTTTTTTGCTTTTGCTTCCTCTGATCTCTGATAGCACAGAAGTGTTCCCAAAAAAGCAGGCGCTAACCCTTTCAGGCCAGTGTAACCTTTACTTAATTGCAAGACTGACATAACCTCATGTGGCTCTGGAGATACAGAGTGAGATAAGGCCCCTGCCTAGGGGAGCTCGCTCTCATTAACAGTGATGGATGATGGCATTGACTCCTGGGATTAAGATCAGGGGCTGATAAGGTGGAGGAGAGGTGCTATGGGGAGTGCATTGTTCATATCAACTCTCACCTCATGCGGGTTGGAGCAAACAATAGATAATTTACATTCCTCCGTACTCCCTGCTCACAGTCCTGCCTGCACGTTGCTGCTGGCTCCCTGGCAGGGCCTTGCTGGAAGCCCAGCGTTCCTGTCCAGGCAAGATTGGAAAGGGAAGCTTCCCCAGAGGAGGGAAGGTGCTTGGCACAGCGTGGCAGAGTGAGAGAAGCTGAGGAAGTGTGGTGGCAAGGTGGGGTGGAGGAGAGGTGCAGCCTGGGCTTGGAGAGGTGATGCTCCAGCATCAGAGAACAGCAGAGCCACAGAGCTGAGGGCAGGAGGGACCCTTGCATGAGGATATTTCATAGAATATCCTATGCTGGGAGGGTCCCACAGGATCATGGAGTCCAGCTCACAGCCCTGCACAGACACCCCAGCAATCCCACCCTGTGCTTGAGAGCATTGTCCAAAGCCTCCTGGAGCTCTGGCAGCCTTGGGTCCGTGCCCATTCCCTGGGGAGCCTGGGCAGTGCCAGCACCCTCTGGGGGAAGAACTTTTCCCTGATATCCAACCTAAACCTCCCTACACAGCTCCAGGCATTCCCTGGGTCCTGTCCCAGCAGAGATTGCTGCCTGCCATTTCCATACAGTCATTCCTCTTCTCTCCAGTCCTGAGCCCCCTTTATGGATGGTGACCTTTGTGAAGAGACTGCCTTAAAGCACAGTGGGGTGGGACAGAGCCAGGGCATCAGCACAACGAAATCTGGCCAGGCTGCAGGGCAGATAAAACACTGGTGGACTGAGCTGAGATCAGGTGAAGCAGGTGGTGAAGGGACTGTGCTGGTTAGGAGTGGACATGATGGATGGAGAGAGCAGTTAATGGCACTCCTTGGCAGCCAGGGCAGGCGCTTTCTCACAAAGCTCTGCTTCTCATGTGACATCCTCAGAGACCTCGGGGCAGTTAACCAGGCTCTGCAGTCCCTGGAGGAAAGCTCTTCCTGGGCTTTCCACAATCCACTGGGCAGGGTCTGGGCTTACCTTGGGGTGTTAGAAATTCACTCTGCAGCTTGAAGTGTTTGTAGTGTGCCCTTAAGCATGCAAAGGGTTAAAAACAAGAGGCCCTGGAGTGTCCATGTTGCAGTTCCCAGCATGTAAGGTGGAAAGGAGGTTTCTCTTTCTGTGGGGGTGACTAAGGCCATCCACAGGCAGGCTTGGAAGGAGTGGAATGCAGGTTATGGCATCATAAAATAGTTTGGGTTAGAAAGGATCTTTAAAGCTCATCTGTTCCACCCCCTGCCATGGGCAGGGACACGTACCACTGTCCCAAGCTGCTCCAAGCCCCATCCAGCCTGGCCTTGGACACTGCCAGGGATCCAGGGGCAGCCACAGCTGCTCTGGGCACCCTGGGCCAGTTTGTCACAGAGAGAATTTCTGATTAAACCCATGTTGATGAAACTGAGCCAATTTCTTGTATACAAAGAGCATTGTTTTGTTACAGATAATCACACAGTGGAAAGATTAGCCCATGATTTAGCAATGAGAGGAAGAGCAGACATGTACATCCTCTGAGGTACAATCGCTCATTTGTCTGTCAGGTTCAGTTATTTTGAATAATCAGGGTTTTGCCCTTTCTCCCTGAGTATATAAACAATTCTGAGTTATCTTCTGAATGCTTTTGGATAAGTTCCCAGGAGAACTTAAATCTTGGATGGATTTGTAACATGCCTGTAGGCAGCTGTCCTCTCCAGTCCTGGTTTGTGGTTACCCCTCCTGTGACCAGTGGGAAATCTGGTTATGTGTGCATGAGGAGCACTGGAACAGCCCCACGTGTCTAAGTCAGGCTGTTTGGGTGCTTTTCTTCTGTTGCTTTCCTCACAGCTTCATCTAAAATCACGTATTTCTGCAAGTGTTACACACAGCCATCATTCTTTGGAAGGAAAATGGAACAAAGGAATGTGCAAAAATTGCTGGCATGATTATCAGTCACATCACAAATGGGGCTTCTGTTGCCTCCTTAGATTTATTACCTAAACCTGCAGCATACAAGTTAGCAGGCTCCTCTGGGAGAAGCATTGTTGTATGGACAATGTGACTTTCCTGCATGGCATTCTTGTGGACATTCCTCCTCAGCTGTTTGGGCTTCAAAATCCCCTGGCCTGCCACGTGCTCTAGCTTGAAGGGTGGCACTGGTTTTGCCTAGATGGTGTGTGTAAGCCTGGTGGGTTCCCTGCAGAATTCCCACCCTGGGAGGCAGTGACGTGCTTACAGCTGAGATTTCCAGCGCTGGGAAATGGAAATGGCTTGATTTCTGTGAAGGACCATGGCTTGATTTGCTGTGAAGGACCATCCCAAAAAGTCTTAGCAGAGTTCAGGCTGGAGCTGTGCAGCTTGCACCCCTTGTGTGTAATTCCTCTTTTGGCACCTGCTGGTGCTGAGGATGAGAGACAAGTTCTGCTTTCAGGATGTACGACTCAGGGGGAAAATGTTCTTCTGGGATTTCCATTGAAGGCAAAATATGAAAAAATGAACTCTTCTTTGATAAAAAGTCTTTGATATTCAGTGGGTAGATGTCTCAGTCTCATTCCACCTGTGCCTGAAGCAGGACATTAGATGTTAGATGCCACTAATTTCTGACACCCCCTTCACTGCCCCTCAGCACATCTGCAAACCCCTCAGGGATAAGCACAGATCTCCTTTTCTGCCCTGCTCCTGATACTCTGCTCTTATTCCCCAGCAGGACTTGCAGTTCACAACATAAAATCATAGGCTCATCAAGGTTGGAAAAGAACTCTGGTCATGGAGTTCAGCCCTTAACCTGAAATAGCACTGAATTCAGCACTCAACCATGTCTCCAAGTGCCACATGCCTGCTGAACACTTCCAGGGATGCAGATTCCACCCCTGCTCTGAGTAGCATGTTCTGGTGCCTCACCATCCTTTCTGTGGAGATAATTTTCACAATATCCAGCCTAAACCTCCCCTGGCACAACTTGAAGCCATGTCAAACATCTCTCATCTTGTTTTTTAGGGGAATTTGCCCTTTCAAAACTATTCTACCTTCTCTCTCTAATCCCAAAGCTGTATCACTCATGTTTTGGCTATGTGTAATCTTGTGCTGTCTTATTTAAAACCCCATTATGTTTTGGTCTTTTGTTGCACTGCTGTGTGGATCCTTTCTTTCTTGAATCTGGTGTTTTTTTTTTTTTTTTTTTTTTTTTTTTTTTTTTTTTTTTTTTTTTTTTTTCTCTTTAATTATGTGAAATAAAAAAAACT